CAAACAAATAATAATAAAAATAGATATACACATTAAATTAATTGAATAAAATAAAGGAGAAAAATAATATGCAAGGCTGCACATGTTAGAAATATTATTTGAAAATAATTTTTTTATTTTTAAAAATAAATTTCATTTATAAAAAAAATTAAAAAAATATAGATTAATCAGAAAAACCTCCTAAAAATTAAATACATAATGAAAAAAATATTTTTATTTTAAATAGACTTTCTAAATAACATAAAAGAGAGAAGAGATATTAATCTAAATATAAATAAAAATAATATTAAAATTAATTTTTTTTTAGAAAAAGTAAACAGTGCTATCTAAAATTAAACTTATGGGGTAAATCCAGACCATAAAAAATAATATTTTTTTAATATATAAAAAAATAAAAAATATCATCCACAATAAAATATAAGTGGATGAATAGTGTAAATATACAATGTTAATCACCTCACATATTTTCCCCTTTTATTTATAGGAAAACCTTAAAACAAAAAAGAACCAAGGTTGTTCACGGTAAAACATTAGAAGATAAATAAAGAAAAATGGACAAAACATTGTCTACTTGCATAATATTTTTCCAACACTGTTTAGATTATAGGTAATAATAAGCTGAAGTTCACCGCAGAGCTCTCTTCATAATTTGCAAGTCATCAGAGAATATATCCTCAACATGGTTAATACAGTCCTTCAGGCACAAGAACACCAAGTTACAAGGAGGCAAATGGTTATGGGATACTGCTTCAGTCCATGGCAAACTTAAACTCAAGGAAATTTTATTTGTCTATATCTTGTATTGATTTCTCGGAGATTCCCATCTCAGCAGCAAAAGTATCGAGTTCCATTTACTTTCTGTGGATAAATTCAAAGAAATTTTGTATTTGCACTAAAATATCCTTCTCTAGATAGCGATTAGAGAATCTTCTAGCCATGTGTTTAATCAAGTCCACAGAAATGCCATCAACTTGGTTACCTCCTCTCCCTCTATTCTGTTCAATTTGCCAAGTCCCGTCTGCACTAATTAAGTAAACATTAATGTAAATATTGGAATTTCAAGCAATGGGGGAAGGGCCATGGTGGAGTAGTTCTACTTCTAGTTGAGCTTGTATGATGAGCATAAATGAAGTGTCTGTGTGTGCTAAAGTGGTAGCAAATAGTAGTTGGCATGGTTACTTTGCATCATGTCTTTTGCTTCTTAAGAACATGAAGTATCGATGCATTTTGATGAGAGTTTGCTTCCAATCATAATTAACAAGTGCATGCACAGATGATTCATACAACCAAATTCTGGAAGGCTTTCGATAACTATTGCTGATAGGTTATTAATTTGGTTATCCACTAACTTATAGTTTAATCCACATTAAGTTCTAAATTAAATAGAATGGAGTTGATGAAATCAACTTGATAAAAAAATAAATTTGATTTTTATTTAAATTTTTTTCAAAACAGTATCATTTAATAACTTTATGGTAACAAGCAATTAAATTTTTCTACCAAAACTTATCAACCTTTAATTTTTACTCATTGGAAACAAGTTTCTCAACTGATTACCAGTAGCATGAAATTTCAATGCCATCAGGGTCTGATGTCTACCTAGCCTGTGTGTTTAACTGTAATTACAAATAACGCGGTTTGTGGGATCGAAAAGTACACCAAACACCGCGTCTCTTCTTCAATGCCCATGGCCCTTTTCAACTCTTAAACAAAGACCAACCTGTTTACCTCTCTTTGTCCATTCGCTCCTCCTCCTCCTCTCTTATTAACCCCTTTCTCCTCTGATTCCTGTTGTGTGTGAACAAGAAAAACCAAACAAAAGAAAGATATGATGATGATCATCACCATCTTGTTACTAATAGTTTTGTTCCTAGCTGGCCTCATTAATATTTTCTTCTATTTACCCTCCAGGAAATTGTATGCATGGCTCCAATCTCTTGCCTCTAAAAACCCTCCGAGAACCATCACTCTCCAAGTCTCAAACAAAGGGAGGAGTGTTACTACTACTAGTATCAGTAGTAGTAATGTTAGCGGTCCTGCTTATGACAAAGCTGAGCTAAAGAGTGTTTTTGCTACCTTTGACAAGAATGGTGATGGGTTTATAACAAAGCAAGAGTTAAGAGAGTCATTCAAGAACATAAGAATTTTTATGACAGAGAAAGAAGTGGAAGAAATGGTGGTGAAAATCGATTCCAATGGAGATGGTTTGATAGATTTTGAAGAGTTTTGTATCTTGTGCAAGGTTGTTGGGATTCAAGATCAAGGAGGAGATGAGGAGAAAGAAGGTCAAGGAGATGGTGGAGAAGGGGATTTGAAAGAGGCTTTTGATGTTTTTGATAGAGATAAAGATGGTTTGATATCAGTTGAGGAGCTTGGTTTGGTCTTGTGTTCTTTGGGGTTAAAGGAAGGTGGAAGAGTGGAGGATTGCAAGGAGATGATCAGGAAGGTTGACATGGATGGTGATGGGATGGTTAATTTTGACGAGTTCAAGAGGATGATGACGAGAGGTGGAAGCAAGCTTGTTTCTGTCTTCTAAACCTCTCCTCCCTCAATGCAAATTTGCTTCCTCTAAGCTCTGGTAAGGTAACTAAATATTTGTCACTGATGCAACCGCAGAGAAATCTCAATGAAACAGGAGCTACTCCTAGCCTAACAAACCTCGAGTGTTCAAGTACTGTAGGGGCTAGAGAACTGGCCATCTCTCTGATTTAATCTAACCTCAAGAGAACTCAATCATATGTAGCTAAAATACTTGTTTTGTATTCATATTTGTAGGATGATTTGAACCTGTTACTAGCTAGTCTCTATTTTGCTGTAGTTAAATTTACATAGATAAATTCAGATCCTTTTCTTTTGTGTGCTAAGCCAAATTAAAGAAGTGTGTGCATGCCATGCTCAGTTCTTTCAGAGTAAAGCAACTCAAATAACCTTCTTAATTAACTTCTCAACACATTGTTTGCAAATTAAACTCTATCCCTAATCCTTCAATTTGGATTCAGTTTCGAGTCTTGCTTTTGCCACCCACAAACTGAAAGGACTTCCATCGATCAGGTCATCAGCATCATTGCCATGCTCATGCATGTACCAAACCTGGTTCAAATTTCTAAGATGAAGTAAGAAACAGACAAGCAGGACCTGCAGCATCATGTTCAACTTACCATGTAAACCTGGCTTTACAGTCTAAACCTAACTAAATTATCATAGTGAGCTAGCCAAAAACTAGGTAGAAAGAACAGAAGATAGACCAGGACCGCCAGCCTAAATTATCTGAAACTAAATAGAAGGGAACTACTTCATCCATACAAAACGTTCAAACCCCGACAAAGATGGCATTTTCCTGATAATAAAGAAAGAAAGCAACATGTGATCGGTAGTGGGACAAATGATACATTTGCACCTGTGGAAACAGAAATTCTCATTTCAACAAAGCCAGAGCTGAAGTTGATGGGCGCTCATAGTGGGGCATGAACGAGCGTGGAGCACACTCGAAAAGTGCACTTCACTTCTGTCCTCACTCAACCATTTATTTCAGCCTTATCACTCTCTTTTAGACTACTGTTAAGGCTTTCCCACGCAGGACATAAGGAGGTTCTACTCCTGGTTATAAGACCCTCCTCGTTGCAACTTATAATATTAACCTATCTGAAAATCGATCAGAGTTGCGCTCGAGCAGGTTAAACTAATTTAACTTTTTGAGTTTTATTTTTTAATATTAATTTTTTTAAAAAATTATTAATTCTATTAAGGTTAGGTTTTAGGTTAACCAAACTTGGTTAGATCTTATAACTATAGTTTTATTTTTATAAATTAATATTATTATTTAAATTAATTTACATGTTTTTCAATTAATTTTATAAATCATGAAGTTAATAATTATATAAATCTCTAATTACCATGTGATTTATGAGATTTGAACCAATAATTTATAAAGAGTAAATTGAGAATTTGAACATTTAAATTATATCGTTTAAAATTTATAATATAATTTTATTTATTGCCCCTTAAATAAAATTTTTTTTTCAAGTAAAGCTACAAAAGTAATGAAAATCTTATATAGGTAAATATTTTTAGGAACAATATTTATGCACTCCTTAGGTTTTGTGTTGTGAAATCAATTTTCCAATCAGATTGATATTCTTGCCCTTTACGGTAACAACTAATGAAAAAGTAAGGACAATTAACCTGGCGTATAAACTTTTTAGCCATTTTACTTTTTTTAGAAAAACAATAAAATAACTAAAGTATTCTTAAAAGTAAAATTCACTAAGTTGATTTTTTATATTTTTATCATTTTTTTTTAAGAAAAAAGTATCATGATTATCCTATGGTTTAGTTGTTTTTACATTTACCCTCCATATTTTTTAAAATTACAATTTACATCCAAAACTTTGTTAAGTGCATACCATTTTTCATCCTAAATTATCCTATAGTTTAATATATTTTATACTTATCAATGATATACACTATAATTTTTCAAAACACAAAGGATAGGTGTAAAAATAACTAAACTATAAAATAGTCTGGGTGATTTTCTTATTTTGTTATAATCAAATGCTTTGAGAGATAATTTAATATTTTAATAAATATAAATATTATTAAGAAAAAGTGGTGTATTTGTCAGCCAGTAAGTGATGCCTGCCCACTTCGAGCGGTATATTTATTATCACTTGTTGGTCAAATGCTAAGTATTGGGATCTTTTTGGCACCTCTCCATGCCAAGGAGGTGTGTGTAGGGAATGATTCTCTAGTTCAACGATGATAAATTTTTTTTTATTGTCAATTTTTGTGTCAAGTCTTATTTTTTTTTTATTCAAAATAATTTATAAAATTAGTTTTTTATTATCATTGGGTTTTTTTACATATATATATGAACATATTTTTAAATTATTTATCCAAAATCAATTTATTTAAATTAATGAACCAAGTTCCATATTTTTCTCTCTTTTAAAAGTGATATCATCATCCAAACATTTTTTTTTTAATTTTAAAAAAATTAACCCAACCGGTGATGTAACATAAGACAACTATACAATATAATCATAGATGGTAACTTGTATCCTAAAATAATCCATCCATATATTGGGAGTTTGTGCTAAGATATCTGAGCTAATATTAAACACTTCCTTGCCTTGGTTCTTGCGAGGAAGAAGCTATTTGTTCTCTAGGTTTTACTGAACCGACTTCAAATGCAACAGAGCTATCGTGAAATTAAGGCAATCCATAGCTTGCTAACATCTAGGCTGAGCAGAACGCCTGAAATCAACCTCAAAGAACGGCCAAGTAGATCCTAAAGAGAACGACTTTCATTTACTGCGATCACCTGCAGAATAACTAATCACATCAAAAGAAGATTCTTCTGGGGCAAGAAATTACAATTTTTTTGCCCACAGCAATTGTTGATCTGCCACCCAGCCGCCCTACACATGCCAATCCCCATCGTTCTTTTGCTCAAATCATCGTTGTGGCGAGGAATGTTGCCAGTAGGTGCCAAATAAGAGAAAAAGAGAGGATATAATAGAGTAACCTCCCAATTTCACAGGTGTAAATCAATACCAATCACATATATAAATTATTATCGGTAAATGCGTTTATGTAATATAAAACCACAAGCATTTCTGATTCCAAACATGATTCAAAGTAAAGACACTTGCAAACTAAATTTGTCTTTTGATCAAGGCACCCTTAGGACACGGGGAAGGAAAAAAACGTAACATGTGCAGTCAGGCACCAAATGATAGCTCATAATTGCACTGCCTTGTGATCCTGGCCCACTCGCTTATATTTCATCCAGAGAGCCATGGAAGTTTGTTAGAAGACATCAGGGTGGAAACGTCCTGGGATTGAGCTGCTTTGTTGAGCTTGCTTCAGGTGCAATGTCAACGCATAGTTGTTTACCTGGCAAGGCATTACATTAAAAAAGGTCAGAAAATTGGAAAGCAGAAATGTGAAAATTGCTCTGCAGTTAAACATGGAAAGGGAAGCGTGAAAATTCCACCAAAATGCTAAATCATGCAAATAATTCAGGAGCTAACGAGCTCAACCTCCAAGGTCCTCAATTGGTCCTGGTATTGGGACACCAACTGCTTTAGCTGCTGCATCTCCTGGTTCCTCTCTTCATACTCTTTTTGACGCTCATGCTGAATGGATACTGCTCGCTTGAGAATCGCATTTTCCTGAATCAAAGCTTGCACTTGTTCCTTCAAAATCATGTGTTCCTAATACAATAATTAGAAGACAAGCAGAAAAACTTCTCAAAACAAACCCAATATGAATATCTCATCTTTGTTGGTCACTGAAAGTTTGCAGGGAGTATAGAAAGAAAATACAGACAGAAGTAATGAAACACCTGGTGAAAGCTTTTAACTGCCTCTGCTCCTGCACGTGCACAGATGGACTTCTCCAGAACTTCCAGTGCCCGTGAAGCACGTGCTCTGGCATCATCAATATTGGAGGCACTCATCATTTCCCTAACAAAGAGCTCCACCCACTCCGCACCATCCAATGACAGGTGTGCTGACGCTGACAGATCCTCAGTAGGAGGAGCCTCAGCATCAGTTGTTGCTACCCCTACAACAAAAATCGCTCTTTCCATCAACACAACATCAAAGCCTAAACAGACCAATATCCCAAGGCCCCAATTATTGAACCATAAAGCAAAGATTATTATTTTATTGTCATTATTTTTTTAATTGGGAACAGTGGTTCACATGGTTATTATGTTTCATTCAATTGGAATTACACAGGATGGCTATATGTTTCCTCTTCTTGAAGAGGAAAGCCATTAGGTGTATGCTCAGGATGAATGCCATAACCATGACTAGTTGACTGCTAATCTTAGTTGGATCAAATGCCAAACCACATTTAAGTCTGCCATCTCAGCTTTCCTTCTAATTACAAATGGGTTTCAACAACCTTCCAATAGGAGTCCATTTGAAGAAATTTCCACTGGTTTAATATGCGACAAGCAGCTTGTTCTGTTATGGAAACATGTGTATATTCTGTTTAATCAAAGAGATCATCTCTTGTAGGGGCTTTTTTTTAAAATGACCAAAAGAAGAATATATAGTATACCTAGTAGAATACAACTTCAAAAAGGAAGAATATACAGTATGACCAGGAGAGTATAATAGATGAGAAAGGAAGCAAAAAAGTCACTCCATTCACTCTACATATTAGCTAACAAGACTCCTTCAAAATCCTCTTAAGAATTTCACCATGAAGATACCAAAACACTGTGCTATAAGAAAACAAAGACTCAAACTGCAAGGAACCTCAAATTTCTTGCCATTGAATGATCCAAAACAATGACAAACACTGCAGATCTCCGTAAGATCTTGCAGTCTTTCCTCTCATACAAGTTCAATAAAGAAATCAACAAAAGGTTCTCCATGGCATTCCAAAGTACCCAGGACTCACCACAAATAGAAAAAAGTCAGACAAATACTCCAAATTCATTGGGCAATGGAGTAGAAAATGACTCTATCTTATGTCACAATTACATAAGGAGATAAGGCCTTGTGGCCTGCTAATATGCAGCAAGTTGTTAGTGTTAATTTTAGCAAGCATGACCATAAAAAATTCTAACTAACAAAACGATTTGTTGTGGCTTAATTTGATAAAGAGTCAAGAAATCAAAACTTGTTTGTCACTAGCTATACTATACATCTAACACTTAATTCCCTTTAACTCATGAGGAGTTTGCAGCCTTCATCCAGTTCACTTCTTATTCTTATTTTCCCTTTAAATGTGTATGGGTAAATGTGCAACCAGTTGATTATTTCAAACATGTTGATTAAAGTCATGGTAAATAAACTGTCTACACCTGGTTCTATAATCTCTGAATTACAATTCAACATTATTTACCACATGCGCTCAAACTGGTTTAGCATTCTATAAACCTCCATTGATGCTAGTTCTATAGAAAAAGGGACTAAAAGAGTCTGCAGGGGATAAACCTAGAGGCAAATAATATAGTATAACTCTCCTCTTAGGTTTAATGTTCCAGCATGCATGCATACACACATGATTATTCAAAAATCATCTCAGCCAATCCAAAGCCAGCTCAAAACCTACAACATACCAAAAGTTTTCCTATGTATACCTTGTGCTGGAACATTAGACTCGTCAATCACATCAGACTTATCTGCAGCTGTGCTGAAATTTTCAGCAGATCCCAAACGAAGATCATTCAAACTTCTGATAGCTGAATCCAAATCATCACCACATTCTTCAAGCACTTTCTCTCTAAGCTAGAATGACAAGATACCAAAAAGAGTCAGCAAAATACCCAAAACGGATATGTGACCAACATTGAAAACAGGAAAAAGTTGAGCAAATCACACAGTTAATGTATATAAATGGCGATTTAAGCATTACTAGTATTACTACAACCAAATAATTTCCAAGAACACCCTGCTTTCATTCATGATTAAAACCTCAATAAAGGACCTAACAAAATACCCACAAGACAAGCTACTTCCATCGGAAACTGATACGGGTATATCCATCTTAATCCACAACTCACTCCTAACAACACCAAAACAGATATTAACTAGCCAAAACAAATACAACACTCAAAATCATTTCTATATGAATTCCCACAACTTTTTATCAGAAAAAAAAGCATTAAAAAAACATGAAAATCAACTCTTTCCCATTTCCCTGTACAATCATTTCCAATTCCAAATTTCCCAAAACACCACCATCCAAATTGAACGAGAAATCTGCCAATCAACTATTAAGTTACAAAAATACCACAAAAATTCAATCGGAATTAAACAAATAAAAAAATCAACCAATCAATCATTTTGTAATACTAATAAAAAAGAACGAAATAACTGAAGAAAGAGCCGGACCTGCTTGTCCATATCAGGGAAAATGGCGGCGAGTTGTTCGATCAAAGTCGAAGAAGATGAAGAAGAAGAACCGAAATTAAACGAAGGCGTATTGGAAGCAAGAGTATTCGATCTAGGAGGAGAAAAACGAACAGGAGAGGAAGAAGAACAACGGATTCTTTTCGACACAGGTGGGCTAGTAACAGTCAGTTCTTCAAAGAAAGATCTCTTCCCGCACACTATTGCAGACATAGTGTTTTTTCCTCCTGATCAAAATTATAAAGATCTCTCCTTTCTCTCTCTCTCTCTCTCTCTCTCTCTCTATCTATCTATCTATGTCTCTGCTTAATCCCTGATTTCCTGTTCATACAGCACCAAATCCTCAAAATTGAGCGCTTACAGACGCCGATTTCGATGAATCCAATTGATTTCGATCTACGATTTATGTTTGATCAATTGATTTTGGGTTTTCGATGAAAACTAGGGTTTCTCCTATTTTTCCGGGTTTTCTATCTACCTAATCTGCTTCTGATTTTCGCTAGTGCTGCTTCGTACTCATGGCCGAAAGGCAGAGGTGGCAGGTGACGTGTTTTTTGGGTTATTTTATAAAAGGAAAGGGTAAACTGCATTTGTACCCCTATAGATTTACAAATGTCTTTTTATCATCCATATAGTCTTACGTTTTCTAACATAGCCCTTATGATTTTCAAAAAGTTATCTTATTATTTACTTAGTACTAATCATTACAGCTACAGAAGAACAATATTTGATTAGTTTAGTTTTCGATTCTGGATTTTGATTTTTTCTTAGATTTTTTTTTGAGGTAATATAATAAATTATAGATTTGAGAGGAAATAATGAAATAAAAGTGATAATAAAATAAAATAAAACATGATATTAAGTAAGAATTAATTTGGATTCACTCTTTTTAAATTAAGAGTATATGATATAATCATGTTAAGAATATCCAGACTACTGATTTGAATTTTAATATTCATGATTTCGTTTCATTCAATTGGTGAGTAATTATAATTTTTTAAAAACTTTTGGTAGTTATTTAAAAAAAAATAAATCCAGGCTATTGATTTAAAATGAATTAATTGAATTTAACTACCATGATATTTATTATAGTACCCGTGACCTGAAAGGAGTTGAATTTAAATTAATTAGTTTCCAAGAAAGGGTGAAATTGAGACTTTATTGAAAATATAGGAGTAAAATGGGGAATTTCAAAGTATATGGGATAGAAGAAGAGCAAAAGTAAAGTTAACGGCAAGGGCATGGATACGCAAGGGATATGTGAAGACGATGGGAGAAGGAGAAGGTATGGACTTGAATAAGTTTTCAGTTTTACACGTTTTTTTAGATGGTAGTTGGGCGGTGAGATATCCGTTAGGGCCAGCTGGTGGTGGTCATGTCGGTGTTTGGGCTTTTGCTTTGATGGGGTCGTTCGGCCTTATAAACTTTTATACAAGAGCCCAACTACTTGATATGGCTTTGTTAAATCATGAACTCCACCACTTTTAATTCTTGTCATTTTCAAACTTATTTAGGAAAACAAATTAATTACCATTTGTTTTATTTTAAGAAAAAAAATTTATATAATTTAATAAGTATAAAATATATTATTAATTTCAATATAAAGATAATAAATGACATATTTATTATGATAGTAAATTGGTGGCATCATGATATCTCCATGGTAATTGTCATGGTAAATAAGATAATATGATAATGATTGATATGATAATAATTGATATGATGCTAATAATAATGATAAAGTTTGGAATAATAATAAATTAAAAAATATTGTTATTTTATTAATAAATAATAATAATTATAGTAAGTGATGATAGTATGATAAA